CAATGTAATGTGTAGTTCTCTTCAGGATTTCTCTTCTCAGGTCTGGTCTCTGAGGAAGAGGTTCCAGGATGGGGAAGATAATTCTTTGTCCCAAAGGGTTGCTTAATGACCAGACACCTCTCCTGATTCTATCACTGTGAATGCCTCATAGGCAATCATCTCATTTTCACGTAGACATACACCTATTATACATTTTAAAATATTTTAAAATATGCCACAATGCTTTTAATGCTATCATGCCTGCCCTATTTCATTTGCAGCATCTGTCCAGATACACAGTTCATACTGTACCCCAGCTGCTATCAATCCTCCGTATATCTTTATAGGTGATTTTCTTAACCATCTTCCTTTTTTGGTATTGTCACTGGGCTTTTTTTTCCCACAACTAAAAAAAATTCTTTTTCTTAAACAATCTTTTTTAAAAAAAATTTTTATTTGAATGACAGAGTTACAGAGAGGTAGAGGCAGAGAGAGAGGTCTTCTATCTGCTGGTTTACTTCCCAATTGGCTGCAACAGCTGGAGCTGGGCTGATCTGAAGCCAGGCACCAGGAGTTTATTCCAGGTCTCCAACACGAGTGCAGGAGCCTAAGGACTTGAGTCATCTTCTACTGCTTTCCCAGGCCATAGCAGAGAGCTGGATCAGAAGTGGAGCAGCCAGGTCTTGAACTGTTGCCAGCACTGCAGGCTCCAGCTTTACCCACTGTGTCACAGCACTGTCCCGCAAAGCATTCTTTAGTCAGTGGAAGCATGCCTGTCAGCAAAACAAACAAACAAAAAAAACATTAATTTTGGATGTGAAACATGATTATGTGACATTTTGACCTCCTGAGGTTTACAGTGGGCCACCACTGCTTATCATAGCATGATATTTCAAGTGGCACTTCCACTGGTAGTACTCAGCAAGTGTGAGCATTCTTTTAAGAAACCCACCATTACCTTCACCTTGTAGTGGGGCTTCCTTCCCACCAATATTTTCCCTTTATATTCTTGCTTATGTTGATTGCTAATGAGATTAAAATTCAAACAATTAGGTCGAATGCTTGGTTGAAAATTTGTTAAAAGATTGGTTCATAAGGAGGTTTACATTTCCATCTGAAAGTGAATTATCGTAGATTTTATTTAACTATACCATGTAAGTTTCTAATAGTGATAATCAAAAGCAGATATTATATGTATACATTTTGATAAGATTCTGATAACTACATTTAAGCTGAGTTCACTGACTTAAATGTATTTGAAGAAGCTTGGATAGGAAATGATATTGGTAGTTTTTTGGAGAAGCTATTTATGAATTGTAACTTTAAAAGCATTGAAGTTAGTCTGTGTAATGGTCAAATTTGCCAATATGCATTAGGAAGTTAGCATATTCATATCCCCATACAAAAGACTAGAAGATACTATGTAACCTGTTTAGTAAATAATTTTGAAATGTACTTTTTTAAAAAGGATATGTTATGTCTAGTTCCTGTGGGAATTGTCAAAGCAACACTGTGGTTGCAAAATGCATTGTCATCAGACTACCTCAATTTCCTGAGCTTTTATGGTCTCTGTTGACCAAGCCTGTAAACTTCAAGGTGAAAGCCAGCAAGCCTTAAAACAGCTATCTGCAACTGTAAAGAGGAACTTGCCTGTTCACATTTTCACAATTTTGAAAAAGAAGTGAAAATCAAAAACATGTTTCCCCATGGTGTTATCAAAAGAAGTTTCTAAAAATATCTAAAGCTACAGCCCACCTTCAATATATCTTGTACTGCTTTCATTTTCTCATTAGCACTCACCACCACCTAACATCCCATGTGCTTTACTTCTTTGTCTTTCCTACTGTCGGTCTCCCTTCAGTGTAACCTAGTGGGGCCCAGTGATATTTGTTTTGTTCATTGCTCCCCTGCACCTGAGAGAGGTGGGCCCTGTGGGAGTAGACTTACATGATGGAGATGTTACTAGTTTTAATGAAGTAAAATGTACCCAAGAGGGGTGCCCTTTGAGTTTGGCAGAGCTGGGGGTAGTCAATATTACCTGGTAGGGTCCACTCCACTTTGTCTTTACAGCAGCCTCATTTTGTTTTTAGATAATCCCAGACACCAGGTTGAAAGGTAGGAATAGGGTAGGGAGGCAGAGTATGGTTTGAGTAGGTGTGTGTCTGCATAGGTCCATAAGTGAGAGTGCTTTTCAGTAAGAAGAGGGAGGAATAGCTTCAGAGTTCTATAGGGGAGGGAAGTTAGGTGAAAGGAGAGGCCGTCCACAGAAAATTTCAATTGGGCTAAGCATTAGGGCTTCCAGGGAAGAGATCTGTTTCTTAACAGAGCTAAAGGGAGGAGTTTCACCCAGTCTAAGTGGACGTAGGCGGAGAGTTTAGTTAGAGCCTGTTTTAAAATTCCATTCTTCCACCCCTTCTACTTTTCCTGAAGAAGGGAGAGGGTAAGGAATGTGAAAATGCCATGAGATATGAAGAGAGGTGGATACTAGTTGAGTAATTTGAGAGGAAAACTCTGGCCCATTGTCTGACTGAATGGAAGCAGGTAATCCAAATCTTGGGATAATATCATTTAATAATAGAGTGGAAACGGTGGACACTCTTTTGTTAGTAGTGGGGAAAGCTTCCACCCACCAGGAGTAGGTGTCCACAATCACCAGAAGGTAACGTGCTCGCCTAACTGGTGGCATATGGGTGAAGTCAATCTGCCAGTCCTCTCCTGGGGGGGTGATCCATGGGCCTGATGAGTGGGGAATGGGGGCCCTGATATTAGAATTGGGGTTAGCAGTTTGACAGATGCTACACATCTGAGATATGCTATGGAAAGTCTCATATGGCAGGAGTTAGATATGTGTGTGATCTCAGGAAGTGAAGAAGAAAATTTGAATTTGAGAGAGAGAATAAGGTTTTTTTAGAAAAGTAGTTTGGAGAAAAAAAGGGAGTATTAGCTTTTCATCTAGAAACCACCATGAGTCCTTTCTAGATGCCCCTTGTTGGAAAAGAGTTGCATATTGGGGCCTCCTCACACAGGGCACCATAAATGTTAGGAAAAAGGCACAGAATAGAGAAGAGGCAGTGTACGAATTTACAGCGAGACCGAATTTATTCAGAGAAAATGGATTTGTAGAGGTGGTGACCAACTGCCCCATGCACATTGATGAAACACGTGGCAGAACGCCCTGAGCCTTTTTATACTTTAGGAGGGCTACGGATGGGGGTGGGGGTAGGGGGCAGTAGGCAGAGGTGAATTCCTGGAACTGGGCAGAGCCTTGGGAACCTGGAAAAGAATGCAGGGTGGGGTATGAAGGCCTTGGGTGTGAGACCTGATTGAGATCCAGGGCCAGGAGTCAATTCCAATGTCTATCTGTCTTTTGGGCAGTGAGTGAGAATGGCTGAGGCTTATGTCTTTGTTCCATCAAATAGGCTGCTTGGGAAGGGAATTTTCCAAAAAGGTAAACAGTTGAAATAAATGTACTAAGCAACCATGAAATGACTACTCTTGAAGTCAGGAAGTATTTCAGCATCGCAGCCATCTTTGCCTAATATATAATCTGTAAACCTTGAGAATTAAAGCGCCTGTAGTTGTCCCAGCTTTAAACTAAAGGGATTTTTATCACTTTTGCATTATGAACTAGAGAGGAGCACATAGTGACAGGGTATGTTATGACTGTCTTGCCCAATTAAATATTATGTATATCCAGTTAAAAAGTGAAGAAAGAGAGCCTGGTTTTGGAAACCGCGCTGGGGCGTAGTGGGTACTAAGGCAGGCGAGACGTTCTGATGGCCAGTTCATCACCTGAAGGTAAAAGGTTCTTAAAGTGGTTTGAGCGGAATAAGAACCCTGAGGGACATTAGTCTAAGCAAGTTTATGTGCTTTAATGTACAGTCCATTCTGCCTGCTGCATAGCTGGCCAGCCACTTAGTAGTGAGTGCTTATCATTTTAAAACTTCTTCAACAGAGCATACTGAAATTTCCACTTGTGGGATGCAGCTCTGGCTTTAATTGAGGATAAAAGATGCTTCATTTTGTAGATATGTACTTTCTAGCCAACTTTGCCATGATGGAAGTTTCATAAAGTGTGTAAATATTTAGATATTATCACTGCTTCTAATTTTTGTTAACACCTCACTAAGTGAACCTGTAATGAACTGTTCACTTGATAGGCTTGGAAATATAATCGGGGACATTTCTAAAATGTGTATGCAGTGGCCAAGGGATTAGAAAAATGTAACCTGAAGCACATATTAAGTAAACTCCATTGCCTGCTATGAATCATGGAATAGACCTGTATATCTTAGAAATTATTTGGAGAAATTAAGGAAGGAGTCTTAGCTGATTGCTCATTTTGTAGCAATAAGGACAAGATAAAAGTACTTGAGCTTATTTTTGAAGTAAGAGTGATCATGTGTCAGCACTTTCATAGTAATATCTTCTTTCCCCAATTCTGATGTCTAAGTGTCAGCAACAGTATCACTACTGAGATATTACTCAGTATAGTTCAAGAATTTGGAAACTTTTTTTCTTTAAAGCATGACCAAAAGCTGATTCTTTTGCTACTGGGATATATACGAACTCTTCATAATGTGAGATTCTTTGGATATTAGTAAGGCTTTCTTCCTCATCACGTTGCATATACTTGATGGACTGGTCCTGTGCTTTCTTTGTTGAAGTACATTGTTTTTTTCAAGTCATCTGGGACTTTAGTAACAATTTCAAACAAGAGCATCTAACTAGTCAGGAATATCTAGGTTTGTATTTTTGCTGATAGTGGGAAATAGAGGCTGAGTTTGGAAAACTTTATCCTTTTCTTTCCATGTATCCTCTTGATTATGAAATATGGTGTTTTCAAGAATAAAAAAAGACAAAAAAAGGAAATATGGTGTTTTCTATTAAATTTTTAAAGTTATTTTTTAAAAAATGATTTATTTATCTGAGAGGCAGAGTTAGAGAGAGAGAGAGAAGGAGAGACAGAGAGAGAGAGAGAGATCTTCCAGCTGCTGTTCACTCCTCCAGTGGCCACAACGGGGTCCATCCTAATCTCTGCTGGCCAGCCTGGTTTCGCTTGTGGACCAGAGCACAATGGAAGCCTCACCCTAGCCTGTGAGCAAGGCTTCTGTGTGCTCAGGCTATGGACACATCTATGTGACTTGAAAAAGAAGAAAGAGAAAGAAAAAAAGCGAATGAAAGAAAGATGAGAAAAAGGAGAAGAGAAAAGAAAAAGATAGAAAATTAAAAAATGAAAAAAGAAAAAGAAGGGAAAAAATGAAAAACAAACAAAAACAAAAACACAGCTGTAATAACTGGGGCTAGGTCAGGAGGAAGCCAGAAGCCAGGAGCTTTTTCTGAGTCTCCCATGTGGGTGCAGGGGCCCGAACACTTGCGCCATCCTCCATTGCTTTCCCAGGCCTATTAGCAGGGTGCTGGATTGGAAGAGGAGCAGCCAGGACTTGCACCAGTGTCCATATGGGATGCCGGCGCTGCAGGCCATGGCTTTAACCCTCTGAACTACAGCGTAGGCCCCTCTATTATATTTTTTTAAAGTCTTTTAGTACCACTTCTTTTTAAAAAAAGTTTTTTTATTTATTTGAAAGGTGGAATTACAGAGAGAGGGAGAGGATGAAGGAGAGAGGGAGAGAGAGAGAGAGAGTCCATCTGCTAGTTTACTCCCCAATGGCTGCTTGGCCAGGCACAAGCCAGGACCCCAGAGCCACATTCAGGGCTGCACATACTGGCAGGGGTCCCAGCACCTAGGCCACCATTCACTGCTTTCCCAGGCCATTAGCAGGGAGCTGGATTGGAAGTAGAACAGCAGAGACCTGAACTGGCACTCATGTGGGATGCCCGTATCCTGTTGCACCACAACTCAGGCCCCTAGTACCACTTTTTAACAAATTCCATCTGCACTAATTAAATTAGAATCATAGAACATTAACTGGAAGAGACTTAACTGTTGAAGAAACAGCGCTAGAGAAGTTGCAACATTTGTCCACATGCCAACCATTCTGTTGTGACTGATAACAAAACAGGAGTCTATTTTTTTTTTTTAATTTTATCTATTTATTTGAGAGGTAGAGTTACAGTGAGAGGGAGAGTCAGAAACGTCTTCTATCTGCTGGTTCACTCTCCCGAATGGCTGCAATGGCCAGAACAGGTCTGATCCAAAACCAGGAGCCAGGATCTTCTTCCGGGTTTCCCACATGGATGCAGGGGCCCAAGTGCTTGGGCCATCTTCTACTGCTTTCCCTGGCCATAGCAGAGAGCTGAATCAGAAGAGGAGTAGCCACAGCTAGAACCAGTGCCCATATGGGATACCAGCGCCACAGGCAGAGGATTAACCTACTGCACCACAGCACCAGCCCTTAGAGTCCAGTTTTTGTTTTGTGTTGTTTTTAAAGATAGAGTGACAGAGAGAGGTAGAGACAGAGAGAGAGGTCTTCCATCCCATGGTTCACTCCCCAGATGGCCGCAATGGCTGGAGCTGCGCCGATCGGAAGCCAGGAGCTTCTTCCAGGTCTCCCACATGGGTTCAGGGGCCCAAGGACCTGGGCCATCGTCTACTGCTTTCCCAGGCCATAGCAGAGAGCTGGATTGGAAGTGGAGCAGTCAGGACTAGAACCAGCGCCCACATGGGATGCCGGTGCTTCAGGCCTGGGCTTTAACCCACTGCACCACAGCGCCGGCTCCTAGTTTTTAATGTTTAAGTTATTTAGTTGAGAGTCAGAGACAGGGAAAGAGAGCTCTCATCCACTGCACTTACCAAATGCCTGCAGTGGGTGGGGCTGGAACAGGGTCCAAGCTTTAAGCCAGGAACCCTTCCTAGGTCTCCCACATATGTAGCAGAAAGCTAATCACTTGAGCCAACACTGTGTCTTCCAGAGTTTGCATCCTTAGAAGCTGGAAATCATGAACCGGAGCCAGGAATTGAACCCAGATACCCTGATGTGGGATTTGGGTATCCCAACTGTCTTCTTAACTGTTTGGCCAAATGCCTACCCCAGCGTCCAGTTTTTTAAACTCATCCTTCCTGTCTGTCCCTTTCTCACATGCAAAGAAATCATGCCCTTTATCTGTTTTATGTTCTTTTATGCTTCACCTAATTCAGTATCCTGCTCTGGGATAGTATCTGAGTATCTGGGATAAAAAAGACAATCTTGGCATCACTTTCTTATGAAGTACAGGACAAGGTCTGTTTAAATCCCTTTAATGTAAGTGCTTGGCAACTAAGTGCAGTAGATTCCTGAGAATGAGTGTTGTGACTTTAAGGTAGTCCTGAACTACTTGTGCAGTGGACCTGTGCAGTGGACTAGCAATAATATGCTTAGCCTTCAGTAATTTACGATCTAGTGGACTATCTTCTGGAGGACGAACTGCTATCACATAAATATAAACCATTCCAGTTCCTCTACTCCTTTGGCAAACTACTGTTATCCTGGTTACATTTGTTTAAGAATAAATAAATAAATCTTTAAAGTAAATAAGGAAGATATTACTGTTTGCCTTCTCAAATTATAAAGGTTTTATTTCATTATTTGTGTCAGACTGAATATTACATTTGATATACTAAGTAACAAGCCATAAGGAAATCCATTAGAGAATGTTACTGTTAGACTAAGTAATAGTCAGTGGGAGAGTTGAGTCCTCGGGGCACTGGGCTTGACCAGGAGGAAACTGGACTCCTGCCCTGGTGTTGCCCTTTACTAGCTTGGTGACCCTGGGTGAGTAACTTGAACTTTTTTGAAACAAATTCTTTTTTCTCTCCTAGTAGACACTGTGCATTGTTTTGAAAATTAGTGATGTTCTGAAAATTATCTACATATTCTGGGGCAATCGAAGCAGGTACTTGAGTGTTTAATGTTAGAGTCATAGATAGAACATAGGAAACTCTTAGCATTTAGTATTCCTTTGTCCCATGGAACTCTCAGGGTTTTTGTAAATTGGAACACTTTGAAAGTTATAAAAAAACAAAAAAACTGTCCATATGTATAGAATAATTGTCTTTCTCCCTATTCTTGCCACTCCTTCCTCTCCTACTTGCTTAAGTGTAAGGAGAAAAATCCAGCAGTCAGTGGCAGCATGTACTTACATTGTTTTATAATGAAGTATATAAATATACTTTTAAAAAATATATAGTGAAGTATATAAGTTTTAATTTTCAGTGAAAGTAGAACTCTCTTCCAGGGACCTTCTTCTGCCTCAAGAGTACTTTGGTGGCATCCTGCCTTTACCACATAATTTTATGCTGTTGTTTATTTGTATGCTAGGTACTTGTTTTGCTTTTGCCCCATCCTCTGCTTTATAACACCTAAAGGTATTCATTAATAATTATTGAATGAATGGATCTCGCCACTATGATTACAATGAGCTACAAGGTGTTTTATGATTGTATCATGATCCCACTGACTTTCACATAGTGATGGGTACACAGTAATGTATACATTTTCCGCTTTACCTGGGACCTCCTAGTAATGTAGCAGCTCTTGGATTTTGGATAGGTTGTTTTTGGAAGGGGACACCTATTGCTGTTCTGAGAATCCTGTTTGAGAAACACTCATAGTGCGTTTACTGCTGATGTTGCTGGGCCTGTTCCAGCTGCCCCAAGGTTGCCCTTGCTGACTTTCATCAGAGGCCATGTAGGATACATTGTGGAGTAGCAGCTGATGAATCATGCTGTAAGAATTAAAAGGAACTTCTAAATTTTTTTTGAATGTAGACCAACTATCTCATTTTGTAGCTAAAGACTGAAGGAAATTTACTGAAGGCATTACTTAGTGGAACTAAATTCTTCCTCTGAATTGTTTTCAGACAAATAATGAGTCAGGGACAGTAGCCTTGTTTCCCTTCCCCCATGCACCAAGTACACCAACTGGAAAGGTAAACAAGGGGCCTGTGCTCTGGCAGCTGGTTAAGCTACCTCCTGCAATGCTGCCATCCCATGTGGATGCTAGTTATGCTCCTGGCTGCTCCACTTCCCAACCAGCTCCCTACTAATGTGCCTGGGGAAGCAGTCCTTGGGCCCCTGCACCCATGTGGGAGACCCAGAAGAAGCCCAGTCCTGGTGGACCTTTGGAGAATAAACCAGTGGATGGGAGATCTCTTTCTCTCTGTCTCCTTGTCTGTCTCTGTGACTCTGCCTTTCAAATAAGTAAATAACATCTTAAAAAAAGTAAACCCTTTTTATTTATTTATGCATATTTTTATTATTTATTATTATTTATTTCCTAAATTTTCTATAATCAAGGTTATTTAACTTTGGTTGTATAAATCCAAAGTTGGGTGCTTTATGTTCTACTGCTTAAAAATAAATCATCTATTCTGAGACAATCAATTAAAATGTTCAAGTAGTTGAGAAAATAATTGTTATAATTCATGGATTATCTAATATATGGTGAGTATGCTGGAAACCTACCCTTGCCAGGTAACTTTGTAATCTCCATTTTATAGATGAGGAAATCTAGTTTTAGTTGGATAATTTGGCAAGGGTGAAACTCCAAAATAAATGACAAGAAAGAAATTTGAGCCACACATAAGGGCTCTGAAGTTATCACTGTTTCTGCTACAAATAACCGGTGCCAGATGTCATCATCTTCAAGAAGAAGAGGAAGCAGTGAGGCATGGTTGCTGTCTCAGCGTGCAGTACATGGACAGGGTGATGAGCAACATACAAGTAACAATAGTGGAAAGAAAATAGGATCGCAATAGCATGAGCAGTATCAGTAGTAATTTTATGAAGTATTATTTGTAGTGGATCTTAAGGAGCTTAGATGCCCAGGTATGCTGGGGACAGATGTGGGCAGGACTATGAATTCTAGGCTTGGCTTATTGGCCTACGGTGGACCCTAGATAGCCAGTAATGACTTTTTTTTTTTTCAATCAAGGGTGATGAAATCATGATGTGAATGGAGAGGCAATGGCAATGGAAAGGCCCTTTAAAAGACTACTACAGTAGCAAGTAGGGTGGGGAGACCTAAGAAGGATTGTGACTATGGATGTAGGGATGAGTCTGCATCTCTGTTTGAGAGAGATTTGAGGTTGCAGTAGGCAGAATCTCTGTGACAGCTCTACTGAATAAATCTTAGAGTAGGTTGAGTAGGTTTAAGGGGTGACAGAAACAAAGGAAGGTGATAAGCTTCAGGATTTTCAAATGGAAC